ACTGACTATGCGCGGATCAGACTTTCTGTTTTAATATATGTTTTTACACATCTTAGCACAGATCAGCACATTGAAATATAAATTATCTTATGCTTGGGTTCACCTTGAGTTGCATGCAAGTCAAATTTGAAATCTGCCTTAAGTGTGAATCACTAATCACATTAATCACATGTGTAAGCCTGAGGCAAACAACTGGGTGTTAGTTTTGGTGATTCTGCACCTTTGTGTGTTCTACTTATTTCTATTCCTTTCTCTATCTATTCCTCTATCATTCAGTATTGGTTGTGTTCTCTATTATTTTGCCTCTGTGGCTCCTTTGTTTACCTTTGTTTACAAAACTTCTGACAGTACTGCAGAGTCCAATGCTTCCTATTCTTTAGTTACTCACATTGGACTCTAGGTAATGTATACCTTCCATACCCTCTCATAATATAGTTACTCACATTGGACTCTAGGTACTGTATACCTTCTGTATTCTCTCATAATATAGTTACTCACATTGGACTCTAGTTTCCAGTCTCTGATAGCTCTCAGCAAGTGGTGAGACACTTCTTTTAAGCTTTGTTCTTGACACTGGGCTCTTCTACTTCAATGACTTCTTTCCTTCCAGCATAATTAAATGCAAACAAATCACTTTGCACCTGAAGACCCCAACAAAAGCTTGATTTGTGTTTGCATGAAACACAGTCAGGGTAAAGCTCACCAAATTTCTAGGTCTACCTGGTATCGGCACCTAGCTGAAGCTACAAAAGATGAGAAACAGAAGATTCAGATGGAAAAGGCTTTTCCCAACCTCACAGCCCTGTATGACTCCCAGCAGGCTGAGTCAAGTGCAGGCCCCAGCAGTGTAGGAGCACACAGCCTCATCCAAACATGTCAACAAAGGCGCTTGGGCAAATTATGCCAAATGGTGCAAACACGCTAAAAGTTCTGCCGTTCAAGTGAGTTATATATTCTGTTTACTACTGAGTTCTTTTTAACAAGGCCACCATGTTTACAGCTAAACGAGGCACCAATTCTATCCAAATTTCCACCACCAGATGCCTCCCCCCTGCGTTCTCTGCTGCAAGCCTCTGGGTCTTGTTATAGACCAACTTACAGCTTCTGTCATCCTTCCACAAATACAGCAAGAGATGCAATTTATTATGTTGGTACGGAATGCATCTTTTGATGACCCTATTAACAAATTGAGCCAGGAGGCTGTGGAGCACCTCAGAAATCCTCTGCAAAACCCCATCAAAATTGAGCACCCAGCAATCTGTCATAGTTTCCTGAAGCTGTTTCCGACATCCTCAGCTTTCATGCAGTTGAGAAGACAATTGCCGAGTATAGCGGAGTTGAGTATGTTGAGCATGATATGTGCCCAGAGTTGTGCATTGGCTTTACTGGCCCTTTTGCTAACCTCCATGCTTTTCCTGTGTGTGGGATGTCCTGATGGAGTCAGAACCAACTTCACACTAGCAATGGATGTACCAGAACTGCTGCAAAAAGATTCACCACTATTCCCCTTGGTCCCCAGCTCCAAGCACAGTATCGAGATCCCCAATCTGCTCGCAATATGTGTCACCTCCATGAGTGCACTCAGGGCATCACCTCTTTGAGAGACTGGAGAGATCCTAGTCATTGATGACATTGCCATGGGATTAGACTACCTTGGGCCAGTTTTTGATGGTGACATTAAAGGGAGTGACATCGTTCTTATGGTGTTGCTTGATGGTGCTCAACTTTATGAACACAAAGACTTGGATTGTTGGATGTATGTATGGATTATTGTGAATCTTGCCCCCGACAAGCGCTACCAGAAGATTTATGTCCGCCCTGGTGGTTTTATCCCTGGGCCTAACAAGCCAAAGAATTTGGACTCGTTTTAATGTGTCGGAATGCATCACATATCCACACTCCAGAAAGAGGGACTCAATATCTGGGATGCCAACCGCAACATTGTTTTTTGCTTGGACATCTACCTTCTTTTTCCAACTGCTGATGGCCTTGGCCTTGTTTATTGGGATGGAATGGTTGGACATAGTGGTAAAAATGGATGCCGTATATACTGTGGCATTCTGGGTCAGCACAAGAACCATGGTTAACATTACTATCCTATTCTCATTATGCCTCGTGATAAATATCCTCCTGATGGGAGTAGACACCCAGATATTGTGGTTTTTGACCTTCCATCAAGTGGTTCTGATATATATGCTGACCATCTCAAGAGGCTCATATCTTTCCTAATCAACCTCAATATGATAACCGCAAGACAGAAACAGGCATTACAAAAGCACCTTTAATCCTTGGTCTCAGTCCCTCACAATTACTGGGTGTTCCCTATTGCATGACAACTGATATAATGCATTTTGCTGGTAACCTCACTGATCTTTTGATTTCACTTTGGCATGGAATTATTGACTGTGATGGAACTGATGATTCTGAACAATGGGAATGGGCAGTTTTTGTCGATAATGAAGCTTGGGAAAGGTATGTACACATACAACATCAATTTCATGTCCCTAATATTGTACTACTGCAAGGTATAGAACATCTGTCTAGGATGCTGGGTCCCACCTACTGTAAGGACCATTTATTATTTTCTTATCTTCTCACTCGGTGTCCTGGTTCTCGAACACTTTTCCTGTCACACCTCTGGCTCTAGGGCTAAAGGTATTTTTTGCAATCCTGCTTCTTATAGCCCTAACAGGCTTTCTTAATCATTGTTACCACTTTGTATCACAGATCAGAGACTAGGTATTGCACCCAGCTAGCCAGCACAATGGGTAGGGGCTAGTAGTAGACATCTCGCCAACCAGCTCAAAGCCCCATCAGTGCCTGGATATACTAATAGATGCTTTAGTCAGGATCATACCTTATTATGAGGATACGGTTCCTGAACATGCGTGACAACATTTATTATTAGTATACTCTCTCACCTGCTGATTAATCTTCAAAGCCGTACAATAGTTATCCTTTTTTCTTATTGGTTGATTTTCCCCTCAGACCACTTTCTTCTTATTCCTCTTTTGGTCTGGGGGATAGACGGTTAGTTATATAAAGCCTTACCTATTCATGTAAAATTCCTTAGCTTTCTATAGAGGACTTGAGAGTAAACTCAGAAGTTTCTGGTGAGGAGTAAAGTGGATATTTCAAGTAATAGAAAGCTAAGGAACTAAGTGAAACTCAGCCGCTGCCCGATGTCGATGATGAAAACTGTTGTTAGAAAACCACACACAAAAACAAACTAACAAACAATCCTCCCAGATTCCACGGAACTTGTTTATGGGCTTTGCCTCCTAGAACAGTGGGTGCTCTGGTTGTTCGTGGGGTGGTATGTATGAAGGTCCTTCAAAGTAAAACCCAGAGATGTATGGGTGTGGGTTTTAAGGAGGAGGGATAGTTGAATTTATAGAAGATGGGGGCTTAATGACGAGTATAGATGAGCACTACCTTGCTAATTGTAGCACAAAGTAGGTTTGAGAATGACAAAGATGACAAGGTGACAAGGTTCCCAGTGATAGCAGGCTCCTGACGCACAAACTGTAGTGCTCAGAAGGACTCTAATCAAAAGGGATGACAGTGACTTTCAAAAATGACGAGTGACGATGACAGCAGATAGGAGTGGTAACAGTGGGAAGTATTGTGACCACACTGGATCACAAGTAGCAGAGTAGTGAACTTGAGATTTAGAGAAGAAGTCTGGAATTGAGTTCTTTGTTGTTTTTACAAGGTAAAATACAGGAGTTTATATAGTGAAAGAAAGGTAGGCTATGCACAGTATAGCTGCGCAAAAAGAATGAGAAAAAACATGAAGGAAGGAATGTACGCTGACAAATCCTGCGTAGTTGCTACAGGATAAGATCATCAAAATAAGGGAAAGAAAGGGATAGAACAATGAATGCTGTGAGTAATGTCACAGGTTTGTACAGCCATAAAATAAAGTCCAATAGCAAAAAGAGAGCAGGAAAATCATGATGTCATGGGAAGATGCAGTAAAAAAAGGCAAGGCAAAACACTATCAGTATCAACACAGTTCCTTTATTGTCAGTCAGGCATTTGTAAATGAATGTTCTGCTGAAAAAAAAGAAACTGGAGCCACCGGTCCACCACCTAGTCCAAATCCAACAGTTCCATGGCCTTACCAATGGACTGGTTGTGTTGGACCACCTGATCAAACGAGGGAGGGAGAGGAGTAGTTCCAATTTGGAACAAGTGAGTCCCAGGCAGCGTGTGGTAGGTGTAGCTGTAGCAAAGACAATGGACAAAAGATAAGTGTACCCAAGTGAATGGGATAGCGATGAACATGGGCGGCGCAAGGGGATAAACCTTCTCCAGCTCAAAAACTACCCACCCACGCTCCAACCAGGCAAGACGAGCGACCAATGTTTTGATAGTATATGATGGCAGATTGACGTCATGAAGATGGACCTGTTGCCCTATTTGGACCGGCTGCCGGGGCTTTGCTGATATCAGCAGTGGCACGTGGTAGTCAACGGATTGGATATCAGCAGTGGCATGTGGTAGTCAACGGATTGGATATCAGCAGCGGCACGTGGTAGTCAATGGATCGGCAACGGAAGTGGATAGGAAGTGGTGACATCAGAAATGGTGGGGGTGCAAATAATATGAGCAGGAGGAGGGTGGAGGTGACGAAAAAGTGGATTAGAATGGGGATCCAGAAACAACCGTCGGGTGAGAATAAAAAGGAGAGGAAGGGGCCCATGGTGGGGCTAGGCAAAGGAAGGGGAGTAAGGGAAACAACAAAAGCGAGGGCGCAATGAAATGTGTAGCCAGTGGTGACGTGAAAATTTGCCGAAATGCCGAAACACGGAAAGTACCGGATGGAAAAGCAAAGGTGAACGTGACTGGATTGCCTAATAGAGGTGGTGCTGATCAGCCACAAGTTCGAAACAGGCAATATTAATTACTATTCCACGTGGCACTGTGCCTGTGTGGCGCAAAGGCGAGTCTTTTCGAATATTCGCTTTGTTATTGACACCTGTCCATGCTACCAATCAATTTTGGTGCATGACATCGGAGAGGTGTGAATCAATTGTCCGGATTTTTGCAATGTGGTCCTGGATAGGTAATGTCCCATCCAAGGACAATTTGGTGAGTTGTTGGAATGAATAGAAGGCCGAGGCAATATTGGATGTTTGATGGAGTGAGACAAGTTTATCAAATAACTCCTTGGAGCTGGTGAGGTCTCCAGTCCTCATTAGGAGGGCATCAGAGATGTGGTCCTGGATGATTCCATGTGCCTTCTCATCCTTAAGTATCCAGGTGATCTCAGGATCCTCCGAGGAGGTAGGTTTTCCTGGTGAGGGCTTAAGCTCCTCTCCAGTAACAACCTGGAGAACATTTTCCCGACATAGCTTTGAGATGATCCGGAGTTTCCATATCTGAAAATTGTTGGGTCCAGTGAGAACTGGACATGCGGATGTATCGCGTGCTGTGGTCATGGTTCCGAGGTTGCCGTTTCAAATAAGAATTATTTCCTGCGTAGCTTTTGTGCACCAGGGCTCATAACCTAATAAACCTAAGTGAAACTCAGCTGCTGCCCGAGAGGCTATAGAAACGACTGAGGTATTCCTATACTAAACCCCCTACTACTTATAGTAGGAGGTGCTACTCACTACAGTATAATGACTCCTAGGAGTACAATTGTGCTCCTAGGAGAACAATGGTTACTCCATGGAGTGGTGGCTATGCTCCATGGAGAACAATGGCTGCTTCGGCAGAGACCAGGTTTATCTGGTTTTGTCATAAATATGTGAGTGTTTCTACTGACTACAAGTTGCTAGTATTTCACGTTTCTTATCTTACTTTGCGCACGCTCGTGGGAAGAGGAACACGGTGTTCGCACTGGAGCTCGCAAGACGGTATACTAATGAAGGAATCGTTTCTATCTCTTTAAACCCGGGCAACATACGATCGGATCTAACTCGCTACATCCCTCGCGTCGGCCAATCATACTGGTACGTCTTCTCTGTCAATAATTTCTTGATACGCAACTCTTTCTCTGAAACTGTTATAATCTAGAACGCCACCATTTTATACAGTGTCCAACATGGTGCTCTCACTCAGCTGTACGCAGGGACGACGGCTGAAGGCGCAGAGCTCAATGGCAAGGTAATTTTTCCCTCTCGTGGCCAATCATTTATTTACCTGTTAATGATTATATACCGTGTACTGCCAGTACCTGATTCCCTGGGCTAGAGTTGGCACGCCGCTAGCGGGCACGCAGGACCCAGAGCTTGGAAGGGCGCTATGGAGTTGGCTCGAAGAGCAGGTTTAGCACTTTTATAGTGATGATACACCTGTCAATGCCGAATTACTATGACGTGCGTGAAGCTCGTGACGTGTGACCCATGTGACAGCCTTGCAGAAATGTTCGGGTTCGATTCGTCAACGTTTCATGACTGCTTCGGCCTCGGGCACGTCGATGAGGCTCACCGATAGCCGCATCTCCAAAGTCCTTTGTGTTGCATGCAGTGGATCTCAAAGCCACATGGTTCACCTTCGAATCCGCTTTGAAGGTTTGTCACCATCCGCAATAGAACATGGTTTCCTGCAGAATTCGAGCCAGTGGATATAGAACCATTTGTCACTATCTTAGGTTCGTTGGAATCAACCTTCTTGTGACTGACAGGAGATAGGTAATGACAAACCTCAGGTCGAAATTGCAGAGTACTTTTCCTTTGGATCGCCCTTCAGTAGTCATTGATACGACTCGGATCTTCCGTAATACCAGCGCGACCTTGCGAATCATACTGAGTAAATCAAGAAGCAGCGTCGCCGTTATGGCGCGTCATTTCCCGGCTGTGATTCTTAGAACACTAGAAAACCATGAAGCATTCCCAAGCTTCACTACGAAACTTAAATCCTCGACCTCACGCACAGGCCAGTCAGCTAAATATAGCACACTTTCCCAAGTCATACACACAGAAGTCCTTATTTGCGTGTCGCGCTGCTCAACACGCCAATCTTCCCTGATAGCATTCCACGATCAAAGACAAATCATTGATAGTAATCATTATAATATCAAAGTGACAAATGGGCGCAGCATTATCTTGGGCTAGAGAGGTTGTACCTCCCAAATCTAAATTCTCTGTCAATAACATACCGGATCTGGCTGGGGAGGTAATCATTGTCACTGGCGCTAACACGGGAATCGGAAAAGAGACCGCCTTGGTGAGCGTTCATTAAAGCGCCTTCCTCTTCCTTCTCCTATCCAGGCCTTGAAATGGGAATGGTACGATCACATACATGTGCTAACGACCATAATACAGGCTCTTTTATCACACAATGCAAAAGTCTATATCGCAGCCAGAAACCAGCCTCAATCGGAGGAAACTATCCGTGAATTGAAGGACAAGACAGGAAACGAGGCAATCTTCCTCAAGCTCGATCTCGCCAATCTCAAATCTGTCAAAGTGGCCGCTGAGGAGTTTCTCAGGTATTACTCACTCAACTCCCCAGGTCACGACTGGCCCACTAACGCTAACGAACTCACCTTTTCATCCGGATAGCAAAGAGACGCAGCTCCATGTTCTCATTAATAACGCGTAAGTCCCAGATCCGAGAAAAAGGTCCTATGCAAATCCTTTCACTGATATTGACTCGGCTAGTGGCGTGATGTTCCCTCCAAAGGACCTCTTAACCACGGATGGCTACGATCTTCAATTTGGTACCAACGTTCTTGGTAGAAGCCCCTTTTTTTCTTCGTTTCATACAGACAGTAATAGTCTACGTTGTTCCACAGGCCATCATTACTTCACGAAACTTCTCCTCCCAACCCTAATCTCAACAGCCCAAACCTCCCCAGACGGCAAAGCACGCGTGGTCACCGTCGCCTCATCTGCGCATCTCTTCGGTAGCCTCGATTTTGCCACATTCAAAGATGGACCAGTTCGGAAGAAAATGAGCCCCCAGTCATTATATGGTCAAAGCAAATACGTGAGGCCTCTTCAAACTTGCCATATTGTCGTTAATCCGGCGTGACCTTTCGTCTGACTGGTGATATAGGGAAACATTGTTTCTGCTCTAGAACTCGCAAAGCGCTATGGTAACCAAGGCATCGTGTCTATTGCCTTGAACCCAGGAAACATCCGTTCCGACCTCCAACGGTACGTACCAGATTTTGCTCGAAAAATAATGGTGCGTGTCATAAAAAAGATTTTATCTGGTATGCGACTTCTCACTCTGATCGTTCACAGAATGCGGTACTCTTGTTTGACACCCCACAAGGCGCTCTCACGCAATTATATGCGGGGACTGCACCTGAGGCCGCCGGACTCAACGGCAAGGTAACTTTCTGTCTCTTCAAGCTCGCTCTGCCCTTGTTGATGTTGCTGCGTCTGATTTCCAGTACCTTGTCCCCTGGGCACGACCTGGGATCCCTCGGCAGGGTACACAGGACCCGAAGCTCGGCCAGGCACTGTGGGAGTGGTTGGAAATGCAGGTCAAAGACGTGTGAATCACGTTGCTATAGGACAGTTGCTGTATTTCCTTCACTTTATGCCATGCAACTTTCCGAATCCTGAACTTAAATCTGTCATCACTACTGTATTTCCCCTGTTTAAACCATTCGTTCGATGCTACTTATTCCATCTGAGTCGTCCACTATATCCACACTGATCGGTGTGAGTAATCTCTAAATAATCAGCTTTCAAGAATAGTGTGACTGCAACACATAGTCCTTTTTTCTTCTGCATCTGCGACAAGAAAGCAATGTTTTATATCTACGTCCTTTATCAGTTCCGGTAGCGCTGGTAGCGCTGGAAAGTCATACTTCTTCATGTTCGTCGGAAGAAGAAAAAGACCCGAGGGGTATAAATCGCTTTGCGGTTGCACGAGAATGATGGAACTAAAAAAATATTAAAGAGGCTCAAGTTAGCGGTGCCCCGAGCCAATGTGAATTAGTGCATTGCTCTTGTTTTGTCGACAAGACCGCCAGCCATCTTTGGAGGAGAACGTTGAAATACATACGAAGGACATGTGCGCTTGCCTATCTCGCAAACTTATTGGTTTCAATGACGACGACGCCATCGAACCATAACCAACGTCCGAAGACGGAAAGGCACAATTTGCGCTGTAAACTGATGCCAGCTGCTTCGAGTGGTTGCCACGAGATATATCGCTGACTTTTGTAGAGGGCTCGGCAGTGTTTGAGTTCGATGTTTTCGAAAAATGATATCCAGCATCATGTCTAGTATGTGGGATACCCGGGCCCATAAGCCACTTATCTTTGTGGCTCAAAACGTCATCATCTCTAGAAGTGGTTTTTGATTCGACTTGTGACAATTGGGCTGGCTTTTTGTGCATTTGAATAGGGCTCGACGAAGGGACGGACGAAAGGGGGGACAGACTAGCGGGAATATCGTGACGGCTTGGAGTAGCATGAGAAACATGTTGTTCATCGGGAGCATGTGCAGCTTGTGCAGCTAAGGAAGACATCGCCGATGATGACCTTAGGGTAGGAGCAAGGGATTCCAATTGGGATTCGGCCGGTACTTGTCGAGGAACTATGGGAGTTACTTGATTCTTACCTGACTCCCTATTGATAGGTCTTGGCCGTAGCTTTGCTCGTGTCCTGGCCTTAGATGATTCAGCTGACGGATCAAGTTGAATTGCATGGCCATGGGATCCATTTGCTTTGGCCGCGACAAGTTTCTTACGGCCAGGACCAGGGGCGGAGGTTATCATGATTTGAGTGGGAGCCTGAGAGTCGCGTTGTGGGTGATGATTGCCTGTTCCCGATAGCTCAGAATAACCCATGCGGAAGGGGCCACTAACAGGTTGTCGTATCTCAGACAGAAAAGGAGAAATTGGATGCGCACTGTGAATCATACCGCCAGAAGTAGTGATATTGGGGATAGAGAGGTTTCCTGCTTCGTCACTACTCAGGCTCACAATTTTCGGTGGCGATTGGCGGGGGGAAATTGGCAATATGGAAGGTGACCGAGGCGGAGAATCGATGCGCATCCTTTTGACCCTTTTCTTACTTCCTTTTGTATTGTAATTATGTGGAGAAAGATCAGGAAGAGGTCCATGATTGGAGAGTGTATCAACGTCCGCCACAGATGTGGCACGTTTTTTGGGGACCAGCGGACGTGACTCTGCGTGAGATGCCAATGGTGGAGAATGGCAATAAAGGCCTTGTAGGACTTCGACAGATTTGGTCTTCATATCATCGATAATTTTCGCTTGCATGATGTCCAGAGTCGACGGTATACTTGAGACACTATTCTTTATGACTTCAATAATATTCGTTTTCATCAGGTCCAAAGCTGTCGAGATACCAGATATACTAGGATTTAGCGCGTCGATAATACTGGATTTAATCTGTTCTAAGTGAAATTGAGGTATGTCAGAGTTCATAGCATCCGATAACGAAGAGATTTTCGAAATGTTAGTGTTCAGAGCGTCTACGATGCCGGACCTCGCTTGATCGATGTGGAGTGGAATAGCATGAAGAAGGGGTGGGACAGATAGAACACTAGTTATCAGTGCATTTTGCTGCTCTTGAATCATTTGGATTGTATGCGTCTGGGATTGCATCAGCTAGATGATCTCATGGTCAGAGCGCATTCGCCAAAGCTGAGGTATGGCATCAAACAGTACCGTTTGCAGCGCATCTGTGCGTTTTTCTAGTGCCTGGAATACAGCTTCGATCGATGTTTGTGACTTAAGCATAAGTTCTAGTTGTGCAGATTGAGCAGGTGCGCCTATACACTTCTGTAACACAGCCTGACATCTGTTCGCTGTCGAACGACCACGCAGGCAGTACGTTATCGACGCTTTGATTAGTATTTGTAAGAAATTTAGACCTGGCTAACAAGACTTACAGATGTCGAGCATCTCTCCCATGATTTTGTCTCGATCACCTTCGAACATTCTCTGTACGGTAACCAGCTCTTTCCTAGCATCTTCGACACCACCAGTGAGTTTATCCACACGAGCTGAGAACTTTTCAAGGTTAAGTTGAGTATCATATAGTAACATGCGCATAGATGCGCCTGCTTTGTCGAGCGGAGCTAATGGAGGAACAGGGATCGTTGTTTTCGCTGTCGTTGAGGTCGATTGAGACATTTCCTTGCCAAGAATGGCCCATAAAGCACTTGAAGAGGAAGAAAATACTGGCCGCTTCTTTGAAGTAGCATTTTCTGCCGATGGTCCAGGTAAAGTACTCATGGCTGTAAGGATTAGCCCTGTAGAAATAGGGAACATGAGGGAAACCAACGCGATGACATCACGTGCGATGAGCAGGTCATTCACGTGCGAGAAAGACAAAACTCCAGTTGATTTGCAGAGAACAGGATAACATTGTAAATGCGACATATTGGTTTATGTGGTGAGCTATAGTACACATTAGTATCGTGAGTCCATTTCCGAGTGCACCTAGTGTAACATGGCGAAAGTACACTCAACGGGAGAGTGGGGATGCAAGAGAAGGTGAGCGTAACTTGAGACAGTCGATGATCTTGAAACGTTAAGTAACTAGTTCATAGAGGAGGTAGAGGACGTCGGCATTGTGGGCAGATATTCTGTAAGTAACCACGTGAGTTTCCTGCGTATATTAATAGAACGTGTTTAATGACCTTAATAGCAAGCCACTAAAAGGAAAAAAATTAGTAAATGTCTCTAACAACGGAATGGGACTATTCGTACCTTTTCGAGACATTCAGTATGCTTTTGAAGATCATTGTCAAAAGAATTATTAAAGGTGTATGTCGGAATTAAGATCATACTAGCACTCACGAATAGATGGCTACACGGCGCAAGACTGTAGTTTCTGCGTGCACTAACTTTGTGTAACAACCCTCCAGCAACTTGCTGGCGTTGTCGTGGATCTTCAGCATAGATAACTTCCATGCAGATGGCACAATCTCCCAACGAAGAGTCGGGCGACTCTGGGTCAGAAACACCAGAAGATGGAATCGGTGGGTGATAATCGTACATCTTCGTACTGGTGAACTACAGGTGAGAGTAGATGAGATACCGATCTGATACGACGATATAACATGGACGTACCCGCTTTGGAAGGAAGAATGTAGGTCCAAGTTGCTCTTGCAGTATCAAAACGATGGCTTGCATTAGTATGAAAACTGCAAGGATGTATATCCATGCTGGATATATTAAGAGTCGACGAAGAAAATTATTAGTGACAAACACCAGCAGGTATAGATAGTCTGACTTACGTCGACGATCCACATCGAGAACATTCTTGGGACAAGGAAGGAGATCTGCAAAATGGAGTCAGCCACGGGAATGTAAAACCAGGTAGAATAGACGTACACAACGCAAAATAAAGTCTGCAAATTGTGGTACCCACTAAGTACTCCTTGCTTAATGCGCTACTCCTGCTCCGTCTAACGGACCGCACGATTTGTGGCAACCAGAACGACGAGTACATAGTACCGACGAAAAACAGTGCCAATGAAGGTGTAACGATGACGCGAACGACGAAAGTGAGGAAGAAAAACATCCCTAACCCTAAGAGAGGTCTCGTCAGCTATAAATACCAGAACACACGATACGGCCTACAGATGCGAGCCTGGGGATCAGAACGCAGATGTTGCATGAAGAGGCGGAAGAAGCTCGGTTCAGAAGGAACGGAAGGAGTGGGAGGGGCTGCTTGTGGTGCCTGCGTAGGTAAACTAGAATCCTCCTGAGGTGAAGGTGGAGTTTGACGAATGGGAGAAGGAGCTGGTACGACATCTTCTGGGGCTTGTACTTGATTGATGAGAATGGAGAATTGCTGTAAACCGACGGAAATTTTAATCAAGGCCTAGGGCGCTGCTGCTATTAGGATTACGCTCACCGCTTCATAAGCGAACAGCATGCAAGCTAAGAACGCAGGGGCAACAAGTGAAAGCGATGGCCGCCCATCAGCGAGAATGGCAAATGTAATATGTCCTGCAAACGAAACGGCGTCCACTATGGCTTGGGTAAGGAATGACCAGCGAGATAAACGAGAAATGCCAGCGGGCGTTCGGCTGCGGTCCATCTGACGAGAAAGAAGAACGAGAAGAACGAAGTAGGCGAGTGCTGCCGTCCCGGCATCTGGTTAAAGATAAGAGGAATGATGAGCAACACAAACAAAAAATAAGATGATGAACTGACAGGTTGTAACTTTGCGGAAAAAAGTGCGAGACCTATTGATTGCAATGTCAGATCTATAAGGAATGCTCTACATGTGTGCTCCTACCTCAAACCCTCAGTGTTGTTGATATGGTAAAGAATGCCACATTCCTTGCTCAGTAGTACACCGTTAAGAGTTAACTTGGGAGACTTGACAGTCCATTTTCCAGTGGGTCTCTGTAGTTCTTCTTCCAGCTCATCCATGAGCTGCTCCGGAACTTGAGATGGCTCTATCTGAGAATATAGGGTGAATCCGCATTTTGATTTGCCGCTGTTGTCTGTAGAGAGATTAGCAAGATAGCTCCCTCAGGGACTAAGAATGATTGACATACCATCGTTGTTGCTGTCTTGGTCTATGATACCTTGATCGATCATAGTCTTTAGCTTGTTGATCCTTGAAGCAATTTCAGGTTCTACAGCGTGTGCTGTGGCGTTTTGGTAGCCCTCGGGTACTATGGATGGCAGTAGTCGTATATCTATGTTTCGGCTGAACATCAACATGTGAGTACGACGAACTCTGGTAAATAAGAGATATTACCCGATTGGCTCTGCAAACCCATAGATAGAACCGTTTCCTATGATATGGACGCCTTCGAAATCAAGTCTCATATCATCTACATTTTTAGGATCAACGAGATCAATTCTGCCCTAAATGTGATGTTTGATGTGTTGGTGAACAAACAGATACGAAATATCGAGTTGACATACATGAATCATCGCTATTCTCGCTGATGCGTTATTCGCCGCAGTGACTTCCACAGGGGTGCGAGCCATCAAACTCCAAGGAATCTTTTCTGAACCGGACCAATTCCATGGCCCTATTTTCTGTAGTGCTTCAGTCATATTAGGATCAGCCATGTAGGTCCGGACCAGGGACGCCCATGCGAGGTCTGAGGTATTGGGATGAGAGAGGCTGGGAAGAGTGACGTTGTGGTAGTTTACATCCCCGCGAATAAAACCTGTCACATTGGGGAAATACGACGAATGCGATGGGTCGAGTTGCGAGCCAAATGTCATGAAAGACTGTAGCAGGGGAGCCACAGATGAGTTTGGTGCTGGCTACCTTTGGACTCAGACATTGTTCTACACAACTCAAAAATAGCACGCACCAGAGTAAAATTTGACTCCGTCCCATTCATCCACGCAGTAAAATTGGACATTTGGTAGTTCAATGACTGGAGTGCATCCTGATAATGGTTCCGTGCGAGAAACTCGTCTCCGCTGTGATTGGTGAGCATGAAAAGCATGAATATTATGAAAAGAAAAGAGGGAACAGAGCTCCTTTGGTTTTGTATCCGTACGGCTTCTGGAGGATTGACGGTTCCTTCATTGCGGTCCATAGCGTGCACCGTGCAAGTCACGATGTAACTTGACACAAACGCTCAGCCACAGCCTAGTATGTGTGGGGAAATCTCTCCAGCTCGCGTTCGAAACTCCGCAACGCGTCGAGCTCAACGATGGCAACGACATCGGCGTCGGACAGTAAACGGTGGACACATTTCCACTCGGCATTACAGCTCGCCATTCAACGTTCTGCACGCAAATGGACGTATGTTTACATATATCCTCGTTGCCACATTTACCAGATGAATTTGACGATATGATGAAACAGCTATGAAGACTTTACCGAATGTTTTTCTCTATGGTGCAAAGAAGAACCAAATGGCGCGTCTGCTGTGTTTAATGCTGTCTCAAGGCATATGGAATCTACAATATCTGTACGTGTCTTGGTCTATAACTTGTCAGGGTACACTGCTCATAGCGAGGATTAAAGAACAGTTGTGAAGACCTATTCAAAGAGTATAATGTTAGGGAGAGTATCAACATATTGCATGCTGTCGTTACAGAAGCTCGTGCACGAAAGCAGCGCGGAGAACTATCGGGGAAAGACGTTTGGAAAGAGGATTTACAACCTCGAGTTGCTGCTCGTGCTCATGTGGTGCCTATTCTAGAAGGGGAGGTCGATCGCCTGAAAGCAACATTGAAAGCTGTACGACATATTTTTTCTGCTCATTCTCATACTCACAGTATATGTTTTATGTTAGCTCGAAGAAGAAAATCTGAAACTGCAAGCTCAATTTCGAGAGAATGTCAGGAAACAGGAAGAAACAGATGCGAAGACGACCGAGCTTCTAGATATTCTCGACGATGTATGTTCCATTGTCGTTCTTCCGTTTTCCAAGCTCACTTGAGTCATAGATCTACCACAAGTGGAATAAACTTCCCCACGAAGATATGGAATTGTGGACACTCCAGACTGCTGAATCATTAGGCTCGACACGGCCACCATGATCGGGGTTGGCGTAGTTTTTCAAAGTTTCTTAACATCTTAGCCGCTAAGCTCGGTCGAAGGTGACTGAAAATCAACGTAGCAGAGAACGGAAAGCCGATAGAAAGAACACCATACAACTTGCCAAGGACAGGCATCAAGTTTGAACACATCTGGGAGAATAATCTTGCGCCCCAGCCAGACGTCCAACTCGGATGACTACTTATGAATGATAGTAGTCGTTGGGAACACGTAGCAGAGTCAATTTGGGTACAGCGAGGGTTGTATATTAATATACTAAGCTTCCAAAGTTTCCAAAGGGGTGACAGTTCCAAGTATATTGGCTACAGAGCACAAACCAATTGAAAGTTCACTCTCAGTAAAAACAAAAAGTCGGCTAAAGTCGTGTGAAAGTCAGACTAATGGTTGAGTGAAGTCAAATGAAAGTCGTGCAAATTCTACCTTTAGTTAAAAAAGTAGCCTCGTTCAAGGTGCGTTTCGTAAGGGACCGCTGAAGTTCGGGAACTCTGGCTTTAAGCTGGCCACGTCATCAGTTATGGAACGCGGGGCAAGTAACCGAAGGCTCATACCTGGAAATCACCGAATAATATTTTTTGAGAAATCCAAGATAAACGAGAAATAAACTACACGGCAAGTCTTCCGATAGAATTCGGCGCTTCAGCCTTACTTCCTGCAAACACGGCTGTTTGCCATGCCTTGGCCTGCCCCCCCCCCCTCCTAAGCTACGCGTAGTCCAATGGCCTCACAAAACTCTGACGATGATACCTCCTCTGACAATCCCTCAGCTGACAGTCCAAGCCGTTACATTCCGACCGATACAAGTTGTCAAACGGCATCACTACGGACTCTTCAAAACCAAGGTAATATTCCCAAACCTGTGCAGATTAATTGGTCCAATCCAAGAACAGATCGATTGGTAGACTGGCTTGAGAAACATCCTAAACGTAGATATGTTTTATTTTCAGATTCTACTGCAGTCGCCAAAGAAGAGAATCGGGATGCCTCAAGATCTACTAAACATACAAAGGCCTCTTTACATAGAAGGATTGCTAGACACATTTTCAAGAATGATTCCAATGTGAACTTGCGTATCGCGATTGATCACCATCACCAACAATTTGGTGAGTCAGTGCAGCATCGTCTTGCCAGGTATTTATTTCACCGTTTATTTATTATTTATTGACACTACATCGATGCTTTCAGCCTCAGCAAGACATATCAATGCCATCTGCGGGATTTAGGATCCACTGGTAGTGGCCTTGTGGCGGGGGATCCGTCCGATGCCCTGTACGACAGTCCGATCGGTGAGTTTTTTATTTTATTTTATTTTATACTTAGATTTGATTGCTGATTTTAAAAGAACCAGTTCGTGCTAAATTCTCGTGGTGGGACCGCCTCAGCACCTTCTGGCGTGCATTGCCGAAGTATAATGCGAAGCCGGCAACATCAGCGCATGGTCAGGATCTCTTGGGGAAGGCTATGGCGATTCTGTTTCCAATGAGGGGTGACAATGAAGCTTTCCAGCGCGGCATGAACTCACATTTCCAGGGCGGCGGGTGGGATTTGGTCGAACACGAGCAGGATGGCGGTGACGGCAGCAGCTATCAGCAGCAGCCGTCCCAGCACCAGGCACCGTACCAGCCGTCTCAGCAGCAGCAGCAGCCGTACCAGCCGTACCAGCAGCAGCACCAGCAGCAGCAGCCGTATCAGCAACAGCAGGCGGCTGTGTACGCGAAGTATGGCAATCCCTCCCAGAAAATATAGTGAAAGCAAAGTAGGCTATGCACAGTATATAGCTGTGCAAAAAGAATGAGAAAGAACATGAAGGAAGGAATATACGCTGACAAATCCTGCATAGGTAGTACAGGATAAGATTGTCAAAAAAGGAAAAGAAAGGGATAGAACAATGAATGCTATGTAAGTAATGTCACAGGTTTGTACAGCCATAAAGTAAAGTCCAATAGCAAAAAGAGAGCAAGAAAATTGTGATGTCATGAGAAGATGCAGTAAAAAAAGGGCAAGGCAAAACACTATCAGTATCAACACAGTTCCTTTATTGTCAGTCAGGCATTCTAAAAAAATATGTGTCCATAAAAATGATTCAAAAATCAAAAATAATTGCACTGTAAATGAATGTTCTGCTGAAGAAAAAGAAACTGGAGCCACCGGTCCACCACCTAGTCCAAATCTGACAGTTCCATGGCCTTACCAATGGATTGGTTGTGTTGGACCACCTGATCAAATGAGGAAGGGAGAGGAGTAGTTCCAATTTGGAACAAGTGAGTCCCAGGCAGCGTGTGGTAGGTGTAGCTGTAGCAAAGACGATGGACAAAAGATAAGTGTACCCAAGTGAATGGGACAGCAATGAACATGGGCAACGCAAGGGGATGAACCTTCTCCAGCTCAAAAACTACCCACCCACGCTCCAACCAGGCAAGACGAGTGACCGATGTTTTGATAGTATGTGATGGCAAATCGACGTCATGAAGATGGATCTGTTGCCCTATTTGGACCGGCTGCCGGGGCTTTGCTGATATCAGCAGTGGCACGTGGTAGTCAACGGATCGGCGACGGAAGCGGATAGGAAGTGGTGACATCAGAAATGATGGGGGTGCAAATAATATGAGGAGGAGGAGGGTGGAGGTGACGAACAAGTGGACTAGAATGGGGATCCAGAAACGACCGTTGGGTGAGAATAAAAAGGAGAGGAAGGGGCCCATGGTGGGGCTAGGCAAAGGAAGGGGAGTAAGGGAAACGACAAAAGCGAGGGCGCAATGCAATGTGTAGCCAGTGGCGACGCAAAAATTTGCCGAAATGCCGAAACACGGAAAGTACCGGATGGAAAAGCAAAGGTGAGCGTGACTGGATTGCCTAATAGAGGTGGTGCTGATCAGCCACAAGTTCGAAACAGGCAATATTAATTACTATTCCACGTGGCACTGTGCCTGTGTGGCGCAAAGGCGAGTCTTTTCGAATATTCGCTTTGTTATTGACACCTGTCCATGCTACCAATCAATTTTGGTGCATGACACCGCAGACTTAAAAGGAGTGCCAGCGCGGCCCTCATGGCAATGAAAATGGAAACAGGAGAAACAGCCATAAAATTCAACTCCTGTTTTATGGTAGAAGCCAGTGTTGATGATGAGAACTGTTGTTAGAAAAACCACACACAAAACAAACTAACACACAATCCTCCCAGATTCCACGGAACTTGTTTATGGGCTTTGCCTCCTAGAACAGTAGGTGCTCTGGTTGTTTGTGGGGTGGTATGTATGACAATCCTTCAAAGTCAAACCCAGAAATGTATGGGTGTGGGTTTTGAGGAGGAGGGATAGTTGGAAGATAAAAGATAGGGGCTTTGTGGCGAGTATAGACGAGCACTATCTTGCTAATTGTAGCACAAGGTAGGTTTGAGAATAACAAGATAATGAGGTTCCCAGTGATAGCAGGCTCCTGACGCACAAACTGTAGTGCTCAGAAGGACTCTAATTGAAAGGGATGACAATGACTTCAAACATGGGAAGTGACGATGGCAGCAGTTGACAGTGGTAGAAGTGGGAAGTGTTGTGACCACACTGGATCACAAGTAGCAGAGTAGTGAACTTGAGAGTAGAGAAGAAGTCTGGATTGGATTTCTTGTTGTTTTTTTTACAAGGTAAAATACAGGAGTTTATATAGTGAAAAGAAAGGTAGGCAATGCACAGTATAGCTGTGCAAAAAGAATGAGAAAGAACATGAAGGAAGGAATATATGCTGACAAATCCTGCGTAGTTGCTACAGGATAAGATCATCAAAATAAGGGAAAGAAAGGGATAGAACAATGAATGCTGTGAGTAATGTTACAGGTTTGTACAGCCATAAAGTAAAGTCCAATAGCAAAAAGAGAGCAGGAAAATCATGATGTCATGGGAAGATGCAGTAAAAAAAAGGGCAAGGAAAAACACTATTAGTATCAACACAGTTCCTTTATTGTCAGTCAGGCATTCTAAAAAAATATGTGTCCATAAAAATGATTCAAAAATCAAAAATAATCGCACTGTAAATGAATGTTCTGCTGAAAAAAAAGAAACTGGAGCCACCGGTCCACCACCTAGTCCAAATCCAACAGTTCCATGGCCTTACCAATGGACTGGTTGTGTTGGACCACCTGATCAAACGAGGGAGGGAGAGGAGTAGTTCCAATTTGGAACAAGTGAGTCCCAGGCAGCATGTGGTAGATGTAGCTGTAGCAAAGACGATGGACACAAGATAAGTGTACCCAAGTGAATGGGATAGCGATGAACATGGGCGGCGCAAGGGGATGAACCTTCTCCAGCTCAAAAATTACCCAACCACGCTCCAACCAGGTGTAACAACCAAGAGTTAGTTACTCTGGCGCACACAGGAACACACTATAAAGGTAGTGGAAGATGGGGAGTGGGTACCCCTTGGGCTGCAGTGAGTTAGTTGGTATACAACAGGAGGACTCGCTGAGGAGTCTCCTGGATCTATTGGGGTATATATACTACTACAGGTTTGTTTGTACATGTGTACTATACAGTTGATGAAGGCAGTGGCTGATGATGTCATAGGGCCTAGCCCGTATGGCCAGCTCCACTGCGTGAGAGAGTTAAGTCTAAAAGTAAAAGAAAGGCAACGCGGCACGAGAAAGGGAAATGCCGCGTGGCACTTAAAGTATAAAGTTAAAGCGGAGAATAAAAAGGAAAGGAGATGTCCGGAAATTGTGTTATCGTAACACTACCCCCCTTCTAAGGCTCGACTTCCAGGCGAGACCAAATTCCGGAGGTAGTGGTAAAATTTTCGGGCATAGGTTGAAAGAGGGAATTAAAAAGGTTTGAATCCATGCCTCTAAGCTTCCTGGGAGCTGAGGGATTCCTAGAATAAAATTTGCGAACAGCGTCGCGGGAGTTTTCCAGATGGGATTCTGGTTCCCACGTTCTGTCCTCGTCTCCGTAGCCCTTCCATAGGACCAGGAACTCTAATTTTCCACGCTTCAAGCGTGCATCTACCACCCGTTTGACTTCGAACTCTTCTTCACCTTCCTGGGTGACTACTACCGGACCGGGCCGGTCTACGCGCTGTCCCGGCAGCGGTCCTTTGTAGGGTTTCACACGGCTAATGTTAACTGTGGGTACCACCCTCATTCGTTTTGGGAGTTCCAGCTCCACCGCATTAGGTTTGACTTCCTTAATCCGGTAAGGGCCAATCCACTTTTTGGTCAGTTTTCTAGACTGCCGGTCTTTTAATTTTAAGTGGTCGGTATCTAACCAGACCAGGTCGCCGACCTTGTAGTCAGGGGCCTTAGAGCGTCTACGCTCTGCCCTGTCTTTCATCTGCTCTGCAGTTCTAAATAGCGCCTTGCGCATTTCGTCCAAGACAGACTTCATGTCTTTTGCCATGTTCCCAGCAGCCTCGTTTTTGCTTTTGCCAGGTTCTACACCCATTCTGGGGAGATACAATCTAGTAACCTCGAATGGTGCCTTTCCTGTAGCCGACGACTGTTTAATATTATAAGAGAACTGGGCTATCTTTAGCCACTTGGCCCAATCTGTCTGTCTGTCGTTAATAAATATCCGGAGATACTGTTTCAACTCCTGGTTGAGTCTCTCCGTTTGTCCATCGGTTTGCGGATGGAACGCTGTTGATAATTTAGGTTTGATGCCCAGCATCCGGCATAATTCTTTCATAAATTCGCTAGCGAATTGCGGTCCTCTATCGGAGATTACCGTTTCTGGTAACCCATGGATTGACCATACAAAATCCTTAAATAGGTCTGCTGTACCGGCGGCGGTGATGGTTTTGTTGGTGGGTATGAATACCACTTCTTTGGAGAAGCGATCTACTACCACCATTACTGAATCGTACCCGTTTGACTCGGGCAGATCCGTCGTGAAGTCCACCGATATATCCTGCCAGGGGCCAGCTGGTATCGGGTTTGGCATGAGTTTACCGGCCGGCGGTTGATGGGAATTCTTGGCCATGGCGCATCTCAGACAGGATTTTACATATTCCTGTATGTCTTTGACCATGCCAGGCCACATGTAGTTTCTGGAGATCAACTCCATCGTTCGTTGCCATCCAGGGTGCCCAGCCACTGGAGTGTCATGATGTCTATCTATTGCCTTGATCCTTGCGGACTCCGGCACATAGATTTTGTTTTTGAAATGAAAGAGCCCGTCTTTCCATAAATAGTTTTCATTGCCGTCAAGGCGCGCCTTTTCCTCTGGGGAGATGTCTTTCCTGAAGACTTCTAGGAGGTCGGAATCTTGCCCGATTCTAACATTGGCGACCCTTGATTGATCTATCAAGGTGACACCTTTGTTGTCATCTTCTATGCCGTTGGCATGATCCTCTCTTCTAGATAAAGCATCCGCTTTCCCCATTGAGCTTCCTGGCTTATGAATTAATTTATAATTGAACCTTGACAAGTACACCGCGTAGCGGGCTTGTCTTCGGTTCAGGTCTCGGGCCGTCATGAAGTACTCTAGGTTCTTATGATCGGTCCAAATTTCGAATTGGTGCCTAGCACCTTCTAAGTAGTGCCGCCAGTGCTCTAAAGCTCTAATGATGGCCAGCATCTCCTTGTCGTATATTTGATAGTTGCGCTCTGTAGGCGACAAACTATGCGGTAAATAGGCACAAGGCCTCCAAAGATCATCAGGACATTTGATGGATAGAACAGCCCCAGTGGCGAAGTCAGAAGAGTCGGTTTCTAGCCGGAACTCTTTGTCTAATTCAGGGAATGCCAATATGGGTGCTGTTGTAAATGCCTGTTTAAGCTTATCAAAAGCTTCCTGTTCTT